GGTCCAGGACTCGAACCGTTCTGTCAGCCGTGTAGGATCCAGCCTCCTTAGACTCCAGGCCACCTGCTGGTCCAAAATTTCCTTTTTCAATCCTGCCTGCAAGCCTCGTCTGGTCTAGCCCTTGGGGAGCATGTCTACAGCCTAGAAAGGATCCTGTTCAGTGAGACTCTGCTCCAGGAAACAAGCTCAGCGCCCTGGGCCTGGGTCATTCTTGGGCTTTCCCAACGTTCTTAGCGCCTCATCCCTCCTAACGCAGTCTCCTTACCCAAACTCTCTCCACACAGGGTCACTCCAGTTCCCCAAGGCTCAGCCTGGAAGGAGTGAGTCTGGGAACAGACCGGCAGGGATTTAACTAAACCATCTGACTGCGAGGACTGGGCAGGGCTGCTGGGCAGGGCGGGTGAGCCCAGCTAGGAGGCTGAGCACGCGCACTTAGGGCATTGATCCTGCTAATTGACTTGGGTCAGGGTTCTCCGCACTCATGGTTCTCTTTAGAGGTAGGCACTGGCAGGAGGTGGGGACCTGGCCTTAGGGAGCCTCTCTGCAGCCTCACCCATCCTGGGAGCCCCCAGGCCCAGGGAAGCCCATTAGAGGCAGGAGGGGGGACCTGCCTCTCCCCTGTGGGGAGGAGGAGGAGGGGGATGGGAAGCTCCTCTGGTAGGAAGCGTTGGTACCACTATGTGGACATAACACCAATAGCTGCACACAGCCCTGCCCAGATTTGGTCCCCAGCCCTTACAGCCAGCTGGGGAGGAAGGCGTGGCAGAGCTGTTGGGTCGTGGTGGGGAAGTCAGGATGCACTTTTTTTTTTTTGAGAGTTTTTTTGCTATAGGGTGCGTGCACTCGCCAGACAGAGACAGAGAGACAGAAAGCGAGAAATCACCCACCAGGGGGATGGTCACGCCACAATCCCTTCTCCTCCATTCTCCTCTCGGGATCTCGGGCATGCATGCACACGTGCCTGGTGTGAGTTTTAAGCCACCGGGTCCGGGACGCGAACTGTGGTCGACTACGTGGGAGTCCAGCGACATAGCCATTACGCCAACTGCTGGTCCCCAGGATACACTTTTGCATAGGAAAACATGTCGTGACTTTTTCAACGACCCAATAGTTTTCCTTATAAGTGAACAAACTCAGGCCTGTGACCGCTGTAGTGCCGGTAAGTGGCACAGCCTGACCTTCCGGATCTCCCCCCACCACACACGGTTGTCTTGGCCACGCCCAGCCACAGAGCCGGCTCCCTCTGCCTCTTTGCCCCCTCACCTGGAGAGTGTATTCTGTATAGCCAGATCCTACATCCGCCCAGTTCCAGCGGATGCCCACCTGCCCTGGTGCCCCCGCCAGCTCTCAGAACCCAGCCATTGGACTCTTCCTCCCTCTCATTCGGCCCTTGCTCGTGAGCCTTTCACGCGTGCGTGACCAATTCTATCTATAATACATGCACTCCCACAGCCCTCGGCACAGTGCCGGGACAGAGAAGGCGTTCGATACACTCGTGCTGGCTGATCGATCGTGGGCTACCCCGGGTCGGGCTGAGGGCACCTCTGCTGTGCCAGCGTGGTTCCCAACACGTCCCAGCTGGATGGGAGGTGCCTTCTTCACACCTCACGTGGATTTGCACCCCTGGGACAGGAGAACTCCCCGCCCTTTCCACCTCCACAGGAAAGGAGGGGATGGGCTCTGGTCATGGGGCGGTGTGGCCTGGCTGTGCGGCTGATGCATGTGTGCACATGTGTGTGCGCCGGTGGGGCTACGAACCTCCTCCCCTCCTACAGGCCTCCTTCCTGTTCCCTAACCTCTACTGCCCCTCATCCTGAGAGCCCTCCTCACAAGACAAGCAGGACCAGAGAGAGGGAAGGAATTGATGGGGTCTCTTCCTGCCCCTGTGGATTCCGTGCCAGGGCTGTGAGGGATGAGGCATTGGGTGGGCAGGGACTCCTCTGTCCATGCGCTCGGGAGCAGACAGGGACCACAGAGCGTGCTGAAGGATGCGGGCACTGGAGGTGTGTGCAAGTCACCAGAGAGCAGAAGGGCCTTGGTCACCCCTGCCTAGAGGCAGTCTCCTGTCCCCATGGCTCCCTCTGCAAGGTCTACCGCCTCTTGTCTCCTGGAAAGTAGCCTATACGTCCCTTGAACCCTGGGAGCTTTTTAAGTTTCTGCTTCGCACTTGCCGCTTAGGTTTGATCGTTTGCCATAGGTCGCTAACTCCTCTGGCTCCCAGAGGAGAGGGCGGACCACGTGTTACGGGCCAGGCCTTTCACCGGCTGCTTGGTGTGCGTATCTCATCTCGTTTCCACAAGGTTGTTTTTTATTCCTGTTTTATAGATGAGAGGACTGAGGTTCAGAGATGACATTGTCTGTGGCTAGTGGTGTTCACCCGTGTTTCCCCTGCAGACCCTGGCAGGGCTTCCTTGCACATAGCAGATACTCAGGAAAGAGATGCCACCCTGGGACCTGCCACTTCTGGGAGCAGCTCGGGGTGAGGACAAAGTTGGGAGGTGTGTGTGTGGAGCAGGACACAGCAGCAAAGCCGTGAGGGAAGACAGCCATGGTCAGAATCTGGCTGCACCTGCTGCTCCTGAGGCCAGGAAAGGCCCACGCTGCTCCCCTACTGCAGTTAGAGTCCCCCTCCCTGCTCCCAGGGGAACTCATTGCTCTTTTCTCTGGGAAGGGGGGAGAGCTAAGCTCCCACGTACTGTTCCAGAGGGTTTTCTTCCTTGTGTTTAGCCGGGGTTAAAATAAGTAATTGCGTGTGTGTGTGTGTGTGTGTGTGTGTGTGCACGCGCACGGGAAATGAGAAGCGTGTGCTGAGTAAGTAGTAATTTTGGAGTCTGGAGTGAGGTCCTTGGCAAAGGGGAGCCCCAAGTGGGGTACCAAAATGGGTGGCAGGATGAATGTTTGGATCTCCAGAAGGTCTGGGAAGGAGAAAGCAGAGGGAGAGAGCGCAGGCGCTGGCCTCCAGACCGGGACTCCCTGGCCACAGGACCTGTCACTTTGCATCTTTTAACCAGCCATTGTCTGAAACTTGCTCTCCTACTCCCCCAACTTTGGGATTAAGCCAGGACACCTTGTTAGGTGTGAAGTCATTTTCTCGATTGGGAGGGGGCGGCAGTATGACGGAGGATGGCCCGCGGGGGCTTCCCGAGGCCCGCTCTGTTCAGACCCTTCACCGGCAGGTCCTGGGCTGGCGCTAGCGGACACCTCAACGGCTCTCAGGGAGGATGCCGGGAGCGCGGGCCGCGCCCCAGGGCGAGCCAAGCCTGAGGCGCTCAGAGAAGCCCGCACGCGGCTTCCG